GACAAAACCCATGAAGAGATGACAAAGGTCATGAGGTCATAACTGCCTGATATGATAAGGCTTTTTGTCCATGTAAGAAGACCGTAGGGAGTCAGGCCACTTCTCTGTACAAGTGTAATGAGAAGCAATATTTGCAAGCCAGGAAGAGCCTAGACAGGAAGGGAATCATCTGGTCCCTTGATTTTGGACTTTCCTGATTGAAGAGCTGTGAGAAAATAAACTACTATTATCCAAGGCATCATTGTATGGAATATGTTGACTCCCTGCATGGGAGAGCTAAGACCAGAAAGGCATTCAAATCTCAGCCTTTGCCAGCACTACCCTGTGATAGAATTTTGGTAAAGATGGCTACTTTGCTACTCTTGCCATGAAGTAGTAGTGTCAAAGGCCTGTAGATGTAACCAACCGTCTTATTAAATAAGAAACACAGAGCCGATTCAGAGAAGAAAGCCAAGAGGTCAGAACTAAGAGCCTTACCCTTCCTGCTTCAGCCAAGAGAGCTCTCCAAAAGGGGCCTACTTCCTGTGTGTATGTCTTTAAATAGTCTTTCTGTTCTGCCTTCTCATTGGTTGTAAACCCAAACACATGACTGCCCTCGTCACTGCCTGTCTGTAGAGACTTCCAGGTCTTCTATGGTTGGTATTGAGATTAAAGGCGTGTGTCTCCAATGCTGGCTGTATCCTTGAACACACAGAGATCTACCTAGCTCTGTCTACCAAGTGCTGGGATTAAAGGCGTGCGCCACCACCGCCACGCTCTTGCTATGACTCTAGCTCTGACCCCCGGGCAACTTTATTTATTAACATACAATTAAAATCACATTTCAGTACAAGTAAAATACCACCACAAAGGCCCCTCCTTTTGAATAGCTTGACCAATAGGATACAGTGGAAGCAATGTTCAGGGACTTCTGAGAATGGGTCTTGCAACTTCTAGCCAAGGTCACTGGGGGCTGTTGATCTGGAAACTCAGCTATCACCATGTGAGGAGCTGTGAGCAGGGTGAGATCAGAGTCCTGCTTGGACCTGACTGTCAGTGAGTAGAGGACCCTACACCACACCTGCCCAGACACAGTTAGATGCTGGGGCTGGGAAAAAGGAACAGTCTGGTTATAGTTTACTGGTTTTCAAAGTTCACCATATGCTGGAATCACTGAGGAACTCTGAAAAACACAGAGGGGCCACACTTCTACAGGTATGGCTTAAGGTGTCTAGAGTACAGCGTAGGTATTTCTATTATCATTAAGATGATGACTAAACCCAATAAAACCCCCCATGGCTGACTTCATGCACCATCAAGGTTGAGAACTATATACTTGTTAGCATGATCATGGCCCACTCCATTGTTTCAGATAGATACCCTTAAACTTTAAATAAAGCCTGCTTGGAATTTGGAGACAGTCCATCTGAGGAACGTCCAATGAGAGAAGACAAAATTTATCCCCCACTAGTACTCATGCTTATCTGTTGCTATGACAAAATACTTGAGTAAGTGCCCTGCCTCTTATAAAGCCACAAATGCCACCTTGGTACACTACCCACCTCATCTAACTTGAAGTACTTTTCACAGTCTTCCAAATTAGAGGAATCTATTTTCAAGTATTCTTTTTAGATGTATTTGTTTGTTTGCTTGCTTGCTTGTTTATGTGAGGGTGTATGAATGTGTATGCATGGGAGGGGTGTGCATGATCATAAAGGCCACAACTGTCTTCTTCTGTCACCCTCCACCTATTCCTTTGAGGCAGGGTCTCTCCATGAATCTGGGGCTCAGGATTTGTTTGCTAGACTGGGAGCCAGCAAACCTCAGTGATCTTCCTGTCTCTGCCCCTTCAGAGTTCAGGTTACAGGTATGCACTGGAATGCCAGACTTGTCACCTGGGAGCTGGGATCTAAACTCCAGTCCCCATGATTGCACAGCAAGTGCCCTGAATTGCTAAGCCATCTCTCCAGCCCCAGCGAGTCAGTTTTTAATACATAAATTTGGTAGGGCAAATTCACACCACAGCAATGCTCTACATTAATACAGATTAATTCACTAAAGTATGAACACTGGTGAACTGGGCTGGGTAGGACTCACATTCCATGGAGTAGTATTTATGTTTGATTTTTAACTAATATAGCAGTTGTATGGGATATAGTTACAGGAACCATATGGCATTTCAGTATAGCATGCAATGCGTAAGGATCAGACCAAGGAGTGTGTCCTATCCATCACCTCTATCATTCATGTCTTTTTCTTGAACCTTTCAAAGTCCTCCTCACTCGCTATTTTGAAATACACAGTTTAATTACTGTTAGGTGTAGTTACCCTACCGTTCAATAGACCATGAAAAATTGTTCCTTCCTGTGCCTTTGACGACCTCCTCTCCATCTCCAACTCCTCACACCTCTCCCAGGCTCTGTAACAGTGATTCTATCTTCTACTTCTAAGCGTCCAGATTTGAGAGAGATTCTGGAGGATTTGCATTTTGCTGTCTGTATAGTTTAAGTTTCAAAGAATAAAATGGTACAGATAGGATGGTCCTCTGCTACATCATTTCGAGATGCCCAACAGGCTTCATTCCTATTCTGACCCCTGAGTAAGGGCAATACAGTCAACATGCAGGAGGGATGAATTGAAAGTCACAGAAAAAAAAAAAAGAATCACCAGAAGTTCTATGGACAAATCTAGAAGGCACATAATAAGCAATTTAGTCCAAAAAGAAAGAACTTTCTAGAACTTGGGTGTGAAGTAGATGGGTCAGGAAACAGCTGGGGTATTAGCCTGACCCTCACCTTGGTGCTGGGAGGGCATTCACTTTAGGCCAACAGCATGCTTCCTATGCCTTGGTGCTGAGCTTAGAGTCTGGCCACTTGAGTGTCAGTCACCAGGACTCAGGTCTGAAATCCATCACATCAGTTGTGGCATTTGTCAGATGGGCACATAGCCTAGCCCATGACATCCTGTGTGAGTCTCCGGTTACAGGCTGGTTTTGCTCCATACTGACTGGTGTTGTCTGAGACAGCAGGCTCCAGGGAAGTGCAAGCAGTGAGATAGACAAAGGATGCTCCCTCTCAGGATACAGCGTGACCCAGGATGAACTAGAAGCCCCTTTCCACTGGGCATTCCCAAGGAGAAAGGAGGGAAACCTCTTTCAAAGCCCAAAATGATAGTTCATAGATTTTCTGAAACCCATGCTCTTAGTAGTTGAATAAAATAAATATAAAGTGATAAAACATCCTGATGGGAGAGCCTTGTGGTTAAAGAATCCATCTTACTAAGAGCCTGACGTTTTTAACCTAGCTGGATGCCTGGCCCAGAGCTACACAACCTCCATCAGTCCATTTCCTGATTCATTAGATCCGCATACTGATAAAGAGAATGTTGCTTCTTCAAAGTGTAGCAATATATAGATGAGTCAACACATTTAAAGAACGGAATAAGATTATGTCTGTGCCCAACCCTAAATGTATCTGCTGAAACCTACCTCCCAATATGATGGCATTGAAAGTGATAAAATACTGATGTTAGTGTGCCCCCTGAATTCCATGATCCAATTAGAGACCTTATAAAGAAGACTCCCAGATAACTCTCTCTTCTATCATGTGAAGATACAGTGAAAAGTGTTATCTAGAATCCTGAAAACAGGTCCTGCTGGTGCCTTGGGCTTGAACTCTCCAGCCTTCAGAACAGTGAGAAGTAAATTTCTACTGTTTACCAGTCCCCCAGCCCACAGTGTTGTTATAGCATTCAAATAGACTAAGGCACAAGACACCAAGCCTGGCATACAATAGGGGCTCCAGATGTGCTGGTGAACCCCAGCAAGGTGACATAATTTCAGGTTATGTAATTGTAGATGTGTAAATGTGCATGTAAACACAAAGTCACCTAGTGAGTTCAGTGCTCGTATAGTGATATCTGGCACACGAAGGAACACAGGAAAGGAGACCCAGCCCTCCTACACAGTTTCCACTGTGCTCTACAGGCTAGCCCCTGGTGCCACCCAAGAAAGCAAAGGGCGCTTTAGCCATCTATGAACTTTGGGGGTCTAAGATCACATTGTGGGCGGACACTTACTCTGAAGAACTTAAAACAACGGCCAGCTGTGTCCGTGGATACCAGCAGGGTCCAGCGTCCCCACCCCCACCGTCACATTTAATCAAAAGTGTATTCAAAATATGATTCTGGGAGATTATAGTGGAGATTTGCAGGAGGCTCTCAGTGTGGGCAGAGGTAGTGGGAACAGATTGTGGCTGGGGGCTTGAGTTGGGATAATCATAGGCTCAGACGTGCCATTCTCAGGCCTTGGGCTTCACCGTCAGCTCGGGAAAAGACCTTGAGTATTGGAAGGAGGAGCGGCAAATCTCATGCCTGCCCGCCCCCGCCCCCTTTCCCGGCATTCACTGTGCCTGGTTTCCAACTGGGTTTAGCAGGCTCTCCTGGGTAGTGAGGGCTTCAGTGGGCCGGTTTCCTAATGCTGATTCAATGTGGAAAAGCCCCTCCACCCTCCTCTAAATGACTAGACCCTACAAGGAGTATCAGAAGCCTCAGTCTCCCGGTGGTGGAGGGGAGGGGGTCTACCTGGACCAAGGAGGGGGTATGGTGGAGAGCGCCTTGAAAGAAACCTTCAGCTAATGCTCTTTATTACAAGCGTTAATCCTGCAAAGCCGACTGGAAATAATGTTTATCTTTTCGCAGTTTAATTTTCCGGACCCTAAGCCTCAGGTCAGCAAGGGCGACTGCAAAGTCCCCGGGGAAGCTGGGGGTGGGGGGTGGGACGGGACCAGCTGTTGCCCAAAAACCAAACGCAGGGGGGTGTCTCCCAAAGGAGGTGAGGGGGGGAACCAAAGGAGGGCTTTGGACTGGAGCAGGATCAATCAAACCACAAATCTGAGATAGCTTCTGGCTCCCTCCTTGGGCTTCAGTTTCCTCATCTGAGGAGACACGGGTAGTTTTGTAATTCTTGACCTTTAAAGACACGCCCCACTCTGAAGGGTTGGGTTTGTTTGTTTGTTTGTTTTTTCTATAGTTCCCCTAATGTCCAAATCTCTTTTCTCTCCGCACCTTCCAAGGCTTTAAAAATCGGATGCTTCTGCCTCCCTCATCCTTCCGTCCCCCACGCTGATCTGGAGGGCGTCCACCAACAGGGGCGGGTCTCACCGCTGGGCGGTCCAGCCCAGGAGGAGACTGAATGTAGGATGAGGTGCTCAGATGCACACCAACTCTCCTTCCTAGTTCCTATGGCTTCCCAGGGCTCCCTCCTAGGCTTTGCCGGGTTCACTGCCAATGTAGGAAGCTGTGAGTTTACTCATTGACTGAAGTCCAGTCCCCTGGAGCTGGGAACTGGCCTCAGGCAACCTCATCCAGCCTGCGTTCTGTGGGCATCTTCAAACCTCTCACCCAACTCCAGACAGACTCCCAAAGGGACAAGGACACAAAGTCCCTGCCTGGACCTTCAGCTCTCACTGGTTGGCCTGTACTGGAAGGGTTTGCTGACACTTAAGATTAAACAGAAAAAATGCCCTCTGTGGTCTCTACCAACACCTCAAAACTGCCCTACTTCATTGTTGGGCTCTGTGGAAGCAAGCAGTGGGTGGAGGGGGCTCTCAAGTTTCCCTTCATGGATCGACATAATACGTTTATAATCCCAGTACCACCAGGGAACAAACCTTGCTCCTCAACAAATATTCTGGTGTCACTCTGCTATTCAGCTACTAGCTTGTGCAGTTTGGGGGTCACCCTGTCCTGGGCATGGTGTGTGTGGCTTCCTCGGTTTCTCTCTCTGCTACAGAACTCAGGTCTGCAGCCCCAAACTCTGTCCCCAGAAGCCTTTGTGGCAATTCGGTGCCCCATTCCTGCTCTACCAGACTTCTCCCAGAGTCCCTGGCATTGACAGGCTGCACACCTTGGGTTCAGCTAGGTTATTTTTGAAGTTATAGCCTGGAAAGGGGAAGGAGACACAGATAGTCTTTAGAGACCATATCAACAAGGAAGTTACAAAGTGAGCAGGCTGGGTAAGGGTGGGTGAGCAGGAGGAGATGTTCTTCAGGCCCCCCATCCAGAGGAGGAAGAGAGACTTGGTCAAAATATGCTGGTCATCCACTGGGCTTTCCTCAAGGTGCCTCCCATCTCCCCTTCAAGTCTGACATGGTGCATGTCTGCCTGGCCAGCCCCACCCCTGCGTGCACGGATAGCTGCTAGGATGGTTCTGTGTGTTTGTCTTGAGCAAAGTGAGAACTCCTGGTCCCTGCCGAGGCCTGGAAGCTTCTTAATATGACGGTGAATCCAGAAGCAGCCGTTTCCAAAATTATTCTGCAAACCACAGCCATTGCGCTAACCTGCTGAGAGAGGAAAGATTGATTAAAACCCGAAGGCCACTTGGCCGTAATTTCTAGAAAATCGGAGGTCAGCTTGTGTCCCACCCCAAGGGAAGCCAAGGTCTTGAGGCAATTTGCTTGTCAGAGGTAATGCTTGGGCAAGTTATGTGTAAATTCACATAACAGTGTAACCCAATTTTCTAAGCCAACAGCTAATCCTGAGAGAAATTACTACAAAGACCAGAATCCAACATAAGTAATTGCTGGAGGCTGCCTAGTGCTTAGGGACTGTCCCTTTGTAGCGGTAAAGTTCCCCTTTACCAGGCCCTTGCACATCAGAGGAAGAGGACATTCAATGGTAGTCTTGCCATGCTGGGGGTCAAACCTTTGGGAGTATCCCCAGGGACAGCCTGGACTTTGGCTTCCAAGATGTAAAATTCAGAGAATGTCTACACTGTTCGAATCTTTTAGTAGGCCAGGAGAAGCTGCACACTGACCACTAACCCGTGGTATGCACAGCCCAACCACTCAGCTCCAAAAGCCAGACCAATTCCAGGACATTCTTGGTACCAGCCAAACAGAGACCAAGGAGTCTTCTAAGAAGGCAGATGAGGGCCAAAGGTGCTTATGGGGAGAGACCAGCATGCCTGATGCAACTTGCCGGGTCGTGACACAGGGCTAGACTATCCATCTCTTCAAAGATTATGTGATTTGGGGGAAATCCTCTCCTCGGTATTTATTTTTATCATTTGGCTTTAGATTGGGGTGTTTAGACTTTGAGAGTGTTATGGACATTTTCGCACCAGATCTGGGGAAGGTGATGGGTGGGTATCTTTTGGACAGGCACTCCCAGCGCCTCTGGGGTCCCACTACCTTCTGCTCCAGACGGGTACTGGAACCGCACTTCAGGCTCCCTCCGCCTAGGGCAAGGCGCACAGTTCAGTGGCAGCCCCTGCAGGGCGAACGTGGAGTTTCCAAAGGCTTTGGCAGCAAGAGAATCCTCTTCGACTTCGGAGTCTCTGGGGACCAGGAGTCGCCTGATGGAGATGGGCTGTCTGGGAATCATGTGGCACTCGGGACTTTGTGCCCTGGGAGGGGTTGAGGGAGCACTTTCGACAGCGCTGGCTGCTGCAGTGTGAGCCAAGGACCAGATTCGGGGTTTCTGGCCGCTTGGGTAGTGCACGATCATTGTGGGGCCACTTGGCTCTGTTGTAATGAAGTCAGCTTCTCTTGACCGCGGAGCCTCAGTGAAGGAGAAGCGGGGTACCGCCAGGCCGCACTCTCTGCTCTCCAAACGGCTCTCTTGAGCGGCACAGGGCGCAGGCAGGGACCGCACGCTCTTCGGAAAATCCGCCAGCCTGCGGGATGCTGAGACCGCTGCCTCCTCTTCTTCTGCTTCCTCCTCGTCCTCCTCTTCCTCCAGGTCTTCTAGGTCACTCAGTCGCAGCCCCTGGGCCTCCTGGCTGGCAGTAGCGTCTGTAGGAAATCGAGAGCAAGTGAGAAAAGCATAGTACCCTAGGGAAACTCGCGGGAGGGTCCCTACCCAGAGAAGCTTTTAGCGAGTGGCGCTCCGCACTTCAGCGTTCTCTCACCCGCCACCCGCAGCTCTCCCTAGAGCTGGCTGCTGGCCCCAGGGGAAGAATTCCCCACATCGCCCTGCTTGCCCCGCCTCTCTGATCTCCTGGAGTAGCCAAGGAAAGGCTACTTTGCACTGCTGGAGTCCCTCAGTTATAAAACGGGGAGGGACACTTTTCTTTCAACTTTAGCACCTACAGCGACTGGTGTCGTGTTATTTAATCCAGCAAATATTCACGTGTGCAGAGCATCATTTCGACCTGAGACATTTAGAACTACAGCAGTAAAATGTCTTCTAGGGGAGGTGACCTTCTAGAGGAATAGGCAAGAACAAAGTGCAGAAAATTTTCTTACAGCGATAAACATGGGAAGCGAGCAAAACCGAACTAGGAAGGGACTATCTGGTGCAAAGGCCCTGGGGTTTGCACTGCATCCAGGGACAAGGATAATTGGAGCATTAGACAATAGTAGCACAGATGGCTTTGGATCCGATGTTAAACGTCTTAAGGAACCTGCCAGGTGGGCTGGTGACTTGTTTGTACCTTTGGTGTCTTCGGCCAGGCAGCCCAGAGAGTCTTCTCCGGCACCTTCGCCTTTCCTCTCCTCCCCACCTTTGTTCTTGGGCGCCCACGTCATCTTGTTCTCCTTCTTGAGGCGCCGGCGCGCGTTGGCGAACCAGGTGGACACCTGGGTGAGGGTCATCTTGGTGATGATGGCCAGCATGATCTTCTCGCCCTTGGTGGGGTACGGGTTCTTGCGGTGCTCGTGGAGCCAGGCCTTGAGTGCACTGGTGCTCTCTCTGGTGGCGTTCTTCCTGCGGCCAGCACTGCTCAACTCCACTCCAGCATACCTGTGGGCAGACAGGGCTCAAATTCCAGGCTGGCAACCAGGGGCTTGGCCAGTAGAAAGGCCAGGCGCCTGGAAATTGAGTTCTGTTCCCCCCTTCTTTCACCAGGGAGAGGGCAGAGATGGGGGATGATCAAAGAAGGCCAGCCACCATGCTCCCCTTTTCTCACCTGTCATACTGGTACTGCCCCAGAGTTGGCTCATAGGGGTAATAGGCCCCTGGCTGGGTCAGGCTGGGGGTAAAGTTTCCTGCAGGATCCTTAAACTCATACTGAGGACTCTGGTGTGAGGGGAAAAGAGAATTCAGGACTACACAGGAGAAGGACACAGGTGACTGTCTAGATCAACACCCCAGTACCACCCTTTGCAATGGCTGTACAGTGTTGGGCACAGCCATTTAATACTCTGTGCCTCAGTTTCTCCCTGACTAAGATTGAGGCAATAAAGTCATTTATGCTGGTAGAGTACTTAGTAGAGTCCCAGGGACAGGACAAGCAGTGACAGTGAGTAGGTATCAGCTACCATGATGGCTACAGCTTCTGGATTCCTCACCAAATATACACCTACTGGGACCCTTCCCAGCAGGCTATTCCTGGCCCTTGGCATTCTTGTGATTTGGGGTAAGTTATTTGAACTCTACACCTCAACTATTCACCTGTAAGTCAAGAATAATGATGATTTGCCTACCTTGCAGAATTAAAAAGGTTATAAACATTTTCTCAGCAGTGTGGAGTTTTGCAAACTGTAAAGTGCTGTGAACTTGAATTTTTCCTTACTCAGTATGCTATTTTCTCAGCGTCGTCTGTCCCATACAGATTTTCTCGGGACAAGGCCACAGTAGAGTTCATCTGTGCTGATTGCCTATATTCCCAACCCCCAACGTTAACTGAGCAGTCCCAGGCCCCACCCCATCACTCACCAGTGCACCACACAGTGGGGATGGCTCTGGGCCATAGGGCAGGTACCCAGGGTAGCTCTGGGCAGCTGCATAGGGTGCTCCATAGATGCCCAAGGCAGCACCCAGCTCTGGCCGAGCACTGCCCAGCAGCCGACTGTCATAGGGTGTACAGCAAAGAGCAGAGGCAGAGGTGGAGGCGGAGGCCACATCTGACACTGATCGTGGGGCAGTTTCACAGCAAGTGGCACTGGAACTTGCAGACACCAGAAACTACAAAAACACGAAAGGAGTCACTAGAAGTTAAAAATCCAGCCACACCAACTACTGGTTCTAGCCAGAGGAGGGTACCAAGGAAGCTTGGTACCTTCATTCCTTCCTTCTAGTAACCAAATACCACCAGGTTCAGAAACTCCTCTGACTGCTGGGATGGGGATTCTCTGATGGCAACTTACCCAAATTGCGCTTACAGATGCAACCAGGCCATCTTTAAGTCTTCATAGTCCCAGACAGCTTGTGGAGATAGGACCAAATCTCTACCCCCCCACCCCCCACCTCCCGCCCCGTGGGATTCTACAAAGGCACAGTTAGAAGTTAGCTTCAAGATCATCACCAGCATCTCACTCCCGTCCCCATTGTACTAAAAGGATATCCACCTAAGATCAGAATAGGAGACTTGCAGCAGGTCAAAGGTCGACCTGATACTAAACCCCAAGGGAGGGAAAATACATATATACTGAGCACTCTGTTGGAGAAAATGGAGGACAGTGGTGGACATCCTCAGAATTCTCCCGGGAAATCCTCACCACTGCACAACATCCTGGTCTGGAAACCGGAGGGATGCTAAAGCAGAGAGCTCAGGCCAGCCCAAGAAAGGAGTGCGATCAGAATCGAGGTCAACAGATGAGCGGTGTGGTGCCAGCGCTCTGACCTGGAGCGCATTTGTTTTCTCCTGAGGGTCCACTGGCCACCTCACGAATCTGTATAAGGGAAGCCCTGACTGCAAGATCCCCCAGATCCCACGCCCCTCTGCGCAGAGAGCAAGGTTAGAGTGCCCGCGTTTTCAGGTGACACTCAGGAGTGAAAGCTCTCAGTCTGGCATCCGGATGTCAGAGGGTGCGGTGGACAGTTCCCAGTCCTTGCTCCTAGCTTCCCTTGTGTCACCGAGAGGAGGAGAGGAGGAAACTCAGGGGTCAGCGCGCGCGCAGCGGGCATCTTCCCCCCAGTTGCGCTCCCTCCCCCCGCCCCCAATAAGGCACTACTCACCTGGGATGCGCCGCCATACGGGTGTCCAAAGGGCGGGAAGGCCATAGCAGCTGGCCGTCTGGGACGGCTCTCCCTCTTTTCTTCTGAGTCGTTCGCTCAGTTCAGCTGTTCGATGACCCCAGCCGAGCGGCTTCTGGTTTCCTTACAGGGCTGCAGGTGTTCGGCGCCAGTTCCTTGGCCCGCTAAGAGGGAATGGAGGCAGCCCAGCTGCCGAGCCCTGAGCTTGGGAAGGCACCCCTGCGGCCGGTGGGGTCCTGAAGGCAGAGGGGCCCATGGATCGGCAGAGTTAGGAAGAAGGTGCAGGGTATCAAAGGCGCGCGATGGCGAGGTGAGGTGCGGCGCGGCGCAGAGCTATGAGGCTCCAGAGGTGTCCCAGTCCAAGGTGGCCAGAGGCTCAATGTGACGTCACGGTAATCCCGGGCCGCCAGAGGGGACCGCGGGCCCCGGGGCCCCGGGCCACCGAGCGTGCCAGGGGCAGCCAGCCCGTGTACGCGCGCGCACACTCAGACACTCTTGCTCCGCGAGGTTTGTGCAGCGGGCGAGGAACGTCAAAAACCCTGACCCCTCTGCTCGCCGCTAGATCCTACCAGCTTTCGCCTCCAGCTCACGCGCGCGCGCACACACACAGACACTCTCCAAATTCCCCGGGAGAAGTGCGAGATGCGCCTCCCTGCGCGGCGCGCGGGCCCAGGGCGCAGCGTGCTCGCCTCCTCCCCTGCGGCCCCGAGGAGGCGAGAGGCAAGCGGGGCGGCGAGGGAAGAGAGAATACAAAAGAAGAGCCTGGAGGAAAGTGGGGGAGTCAGACAAGGGGGGAGAAGAAGGAGGGAGAGGAGAGATGAGGAGTCTGATGGCGAGGGGTGGGGGAGTGCGGTGGGTGAGGGCTGGGCGGAGGCAGAGCCGGAGCAGGTGGAGGAGAGCAGCGGCTCGCGGGACCAACCTCCAACCATCTCCGCCTCTCTGCTACACCAAAGTTTGTTGGACCCGCCGGCCCCGAGCTCGTAGGGTTGGACCAGCTCCGGGCAGCTTTGATGGAGCCCATCTTTGTCCTTGGGGATCTGACTTGGGTTTTAGTTTCCCAAAACCTTTGGCTAATTCCAGCCCTGGCCAGGCCCTTGACCCCTGGCGTGTCTCTGCAGGGGTCTGACCCCGGGCTAGGCAGACGAGCGCCCCCTCCAGACCAAGGTGCAGCATCCGTTAGAGAGCTCCCATAGACGAGCCAAGTTTACTCGCAGGTATCTGTAGGCTGCCAGCCAAAAGTCTGGGCCATCTCCTCCAAAGGCTAGGCTTGGCTGCCTCCCGAGCGCCGCCTGCGGTGTCCGCCCAGAGCCTGAAAGACCGACCGGCTGCAACTGCTGCGCTCTTCTAGGGGTGGCGCTGGCGAGCCACAGTGGAGAGCTGTGGAGGGAGCTGCGCCAGGGGAACCCAGCTGGGCCCAGTGGTGTAAGAAACCCCTTGCCGGGCTTCTCAAAAGAACATGGATTCCCCCGGGGTGTGTGTGTGGGGGGGGGGGGGGGGTGTGCGGAGGCGGAGGCGGAGGCGTTACTTGCCTGTCTCTTGGACAAGGGATGCCAGTTCGCAAGTGCTATAGATTTTGCACACTTGCAGACCGACACCCTTCCAGAGACTCCAACATGGGCCTAGAAGACTAAGATACAGAAGGGACTTGCAGACTGGCGATGACAGGTCTTAGGTGGCGCTGCTGCGGCACCAGGTGGAGTTTGCAAACCAGAAAGCCTTTCCTTTTAGTCACGCGGTCACAGTACAGTGCACTTGGCAGTTTTTGGACAGTCTTAGATCTTTGCTACACCTCCTCCAGGCGTGGTGGAGGCTTGATCAAGGACAAGAGCAAATCTGTCTATCTGTCTATCTATCTATCTATCTATCTATCTATCTATCTATCTATCTATCTATCTATCTACTTATCTTCCCATTGAAACTCGAGACGTCAAGACCCAGAGGGTACTGACTGCTCGGGGCTCTTGCCCAGCAGAGGTATCTCAGCACCAGAGGCAAGGTTGAGGTCCTGTGCAAGCGTGCCTCTGGCCTCTGGCCTGGTAGGCCATCCCAGTGACCTCTTTAGAATGACACCTTGGCTCAGCACCTGCTCACCTCTCCCAGCTTATGCAGAAGAGACAAGGAGCTTAAACAGGCCACAAAGCACACAGGAGTCTGCAAACCCAGCTGCTACCACAGCCTTTGGTTACCTCGGAGAAACCTTGCTGTCAAACTGGGAGAGGCCTAGTTAGGAAAAGAATTACAGTCGTTGCCAGATTGACTTAGCGATAAAAAGTCACAGTAATAAATAGATCCCTTGATTTTTCAAAACGCACTTTGGAGCAATTCACCCCTTTATAGCTTGGATATCTCTAAGCTCTCTTACTCTCTCTTTTAAAGTAGGAATTGGAAAAATTTCATTAAATTAGTCCCCTGGGGAAGATTACTACTAATTAATTAATTGCAAACATTTCCAGAGGGAAGGTATGTCAATTGTAAAGTAATAAAATTAGATAGTTGAAATACTTACTCAGCAACTTTGATTGCCCATTCATTCCTAAGCAGAGGATTTTTTTTTTGACAGAAAAATGGGGATGAAGCTAGAAAAAAAGCATTAGCCCTGTCCCTTGGTGATATTGTGAAATAGAAACTACCTTATAGGATGTATTGATTTTTCCACTGATTTATAAAGCCCTCCATGGTGTCAACGCTATGTGTAGGGACTCTGGGCCTACCTCTTGTCTTTGCTCTAGGATGTGAGAAAGCCAACAGGAATTTGAAAAGAAAACTCAAAACCAGTGGCAAAACAAATTGGGACATAGGACTGACCATAGTACAGCATTTTCCTTCTGCTGTGGGAGTGGGTAATACACATGGAGCATGCTCTCTGTTACAGTTCTTTACCTGCTGTTTTCAGAGTTGCTTTATGGTTTGGTGGCTTTTATTAGAATGAATCCTGGGGAGGAAGGCTGTCCCTGTCCTCTCTATTTTCACTACCTTAAGAGACCCTGGTTTAATGTAGCCTTCCCAGGGACAGGGTGTAAGTTGAACAAAGCCCCCTGTCTTAATGGCGCTTTGTTATTAGAACACACCTTGAATACTTAGTGGTAGTCCCTAAAATTTATTGTTATGAGATATGCTTCATAAAAAAACAAAAGCAGCAATTTAAGCCAATATCCACCTCTGGCAGAACCCTCATGGGCAGAGACATCTCTTTCTTGGAATTTCTGATTCAGGAATTCTATAGAGTTTACTTTCTTCTTCCTCTGTTTCCAGACTCTCACTTCTATAGCCTGGTGCTCTGGGCTCCTCCATCATGTCAGCTTTTCATTGCTTTGTTCAATGCTGATTAATTTATTTTCAGGGGAAAAATCCCCAATTGTATATGTGTGCTTATAGAATTTTATTGAAGCAACTAAATAAACCCATCAAATACACAACCCCCTCCCCAGTTATATTTAAGGGAGTCAACAAAAACCACTCAGTGTCTCTTGGAAAAAAATGATATTGGTTTTTTTTTTTTGTGTGTGTGTGTGTATGATATTGTGCAACGTGTCTGTTAGTTCTTCTAGCTGCTCAGTAAAACTAATAGGAAACAAAGTGCACGGAGGCCCGTTTGGACCACAGAGAACTCTAATCCACAGCGTTCATTTGAAGTTCCTATTGCTCCCTTTAAAGCACACTGACAATCTTGAGCAAGCACAGTAAAGGATGTGTCTTTGACAATAGCTTGAGAAGACTACTCCGAAAAGGGGAAAGACAAGTGAAACCGGAAAAGCAAACCATCCTGTAGTGTTTGGACTTCAAACTGCCCACGATTTCCTAGTGATTTACACAAAAGACCAAAGGTCACCAGGAGGCAAAGAGTAACCCCAAGGTAGCTTTAAAGGTCTCAAACCACAGATAGAGTGAGTGAGCTCAGGGGCACAATGACATAGTTGAGACTATACTTAAAATACATTTTTTAAAAGTATGGAGTATTTTTAGTGACTGTTTTGAACTGAGAAGAATGAAGTTTCCTCCAATCTATGCATGAATGAACAAGTGCATCTGGACAGATGCATCCATAATTTATACTGATCAGTCACCGCAGGTCTCCCCGAGTAAAGCCGAAATGAACACTAATTGTTTTGACGGAAGTAGTGTGCATGGCATCTGATAGAGAAACGCAGCGCGCCCCTGCCTTGCCTGAATACATATTGTCAACAGAAAAGCTGGCATCAGGAGAGGAAAAGAAAAAGGCAGCAATTCCCAGGCGAGGGCGTGAAGCAGCTCCTCTGGAGGACGGCAAAGAGGAAGGATTAACTTCTTAGAGACAGTATAAAACTCGACTGGATGCAGAGAGCCTGGTTTGCGAGCATTGTGTCTAGCTTAGTGCTAAAACCAATAGCTGGATAGTAAGAGTCTAATTCTTTTGTATTCTGTGAGCTTGGGAGCATTCCTAGACACCTCCGATTTATCTTATTAGAGGCTCCCGAGAAGAACACTGAGAGGTGAGAAGAAGGTCCAAGATGTCACCGAGCCAAACAGATGACAGAGGAGAGGTCAGCATCCTGACCTCTCGATTTGGGTCTTCCTGTAAAAGTGTATTTTACATGCATAAAGTCAGATACAGTCAGGAGAGGTTGCTGACTCCAGCTGAACTGCGAATTCGCAGTTAATGCCTCCTGACGACAGTGCAATTTAGTAGAGAAAAATCTGAGAAGATGCTGCGGTGAGCCAACAAGTTCCAGGAGGCTTCTGCGTGTGTCGTGTTGGTCTGTCTTATGAAAGGGTTTACTGACACAATAACTGGGGAGTTTTAAAAATTTGATGTGGCTCATTCATTAAGGTAGTGAACAGCAGTCAGAGTCAGCTGTAATTGATGAGCGTGTGAAAACAAGAGAAGAGGGAGGAGAAAAGAAAGGCCCTCTTGAAGCAATGCACTGACGATTGCCTCTGTATGACTGTCCTGATTTAAAAACAGCAATGGAATTTAGCAACTGGTTCTGTTCTCCAAGAGGAGGTTTTTTAATCTTTGATTTGGAGGCCTCTAAGCTGGGTTCACTATATTAGCGTTGCGCTTTCCCAACAGTCTCTGCATAGAGCATGTCTTGATTATTTTTTTTTGTCCTGTGTATGTTGACATCTTTCGAGTGATAGGATCAGGCGTCTGCTCTGGCTTCAAGGAATTAAGCCTTAAAGTAAATAGCAGATGTATGGATTTGAAAGCTGGAGAACAGATTTTTGAAGCCAAAGTCTTTGGCAAAGAAATACAAGTAAGCAACGGAGACTTAAAGAGACAACCTGTAGGGACCCCAGCATAAGACTCTGTGTTTTTTTCCCTTTGTGATGGGGTCCGGGGATGGTCCTTGAGTGTACAGTAAGGGAGCAGCATAGTGGTCAAGACAAATGAGAAAGGGAAGCATTGCATTTTGGGCTTCAACTACAGAAGGGGTAGGATACAGTTTTAGCAGAAGGCTGGCTAAGGAAGCATTTACTAGGATGGTATTCTGTTATTCTTGACCCTAAAGGGTTTTACCACCGTAGAGAGTAAGACTTCAGTTAAAATTGTGAGCAAGTTGGAGTTGCATGTCACCTAACTGGTGGCATTCTCTCAGAGTGCCCTTTCCTTAGATTTCCAGGATGAAAGTTGGGCATTAAGCTGGGCATGGCAGTGCATGGGTAGAATCACAGTACCTGGAGGCTGAGTTAGGAAGCTTGCTAGTTCGAAGGGTACATGCTAAGACAGTGTCAAGGAAACTCAAAAATACAAAAATAAACAAACAAGAGGCTCAGATTTTTAGAGCTGGCCTGAAGCCTCCTCTCTGGTGTGGCCTGAGGTTTGCTACTTCAGGAAAGGGGAGGTTTTGAGAAGCCACTCACTGGGCAAAGTAATTTATCACAAATGTTCACAAATCAATAAAAATATGGGAAGTATTATTTTTACAGAAAAAGAGAGAGAGAGAAACACATGAAACATGCCCATTAAGGCATGGTTGTTCTAAAACCTGTGTGTCTACATGGGTCTGCAATTAAAAACACTCTGGCAATAAATCTCCTTGCAGTCTCCTTTAATGCTTTTAACTTTTCTGAAGGTTCAAATTGGTATCCCAAAAATGTGCCAGGACGTTCACAAGGTATTTTATAGACTCATAAATAAATATGGCAATTAATCTATGCTATATTTCTTTCATATTTGATGACAATTTATTATGGCGT